GGTGGTGCATTTGAGCTTAGAAAGAGGAACAGGAGAGAAGCTTCTAGAAGGGAAGGAGGTGCATCAAGATGGCCACTGGTGTGGTGGCTGGAAAGGCCTTGGTGGCCTGTGAGAGCGGGGTCCTGCCTGTTGCCTTACAAAGCCATTGCCCACAGCTGGAGGGACCCTGGGCGTGGGTGTGACAGCTCATTAGCTCGCCTGGCCTCTGCGTGTTCAAATCTTACCACCAGGGGGGGCACAAGAGCCAAAGTGGACCCTGAGCCTGAGCTGGGGTTTCTTTCCCAGAAACAGGACGCCTTGAGGGAAGGGAGGAAAAGTTTTCCCACTCCAGCACCACAAAGCCTGGAAGGCCTGGCTGCTTCCATGTGATTTCTGACTCAGGGGCTTACCCATATTTTCCTCTTCCAGTTAAGGCAAAACATAATTTTTCCATCGCTCCCTTTCCTGGTTGCCTGTAGGACTAACTGCCTGTAACAAATGCACTGTGGCCCAGAGGTTTACTGTGCCATAGAATGTCAGGAGGAATGAAAGACACCTCCTGGGCCGGGCGCGGTGGCTCACGCCTGTAATCCCAGCACTTTGGGAGGCCTAGGCAGGCGGATCACGAGGTCAGGAGATCGAGACCATCCTGGCTAACACGGTGAAACCCCCTCTCTACTAAAAAATACAAAAAAACTAGCCGGGCAACGTGGCGGGCGCCTGTAGTTCCAGCTACTCGGGAGGCTGAGGCAGGAGAATGGCGTGAACCCGGGAGGCGGAGCTTGCAGTGAACTGAGATCCGGCCACCGCACTCCAGCCTGGGCGACAGAGCGAGACTCCGTCTCAAAAAAAAAAAAAAAAAGAAAAGAAAAAGAAAGACACCTCCTGATCCAAAATGCTGTGAACCAAAAAGTATCTGAGACAGATCTCAATCAATTTAGAAAGTTTACTTTGCCAGGGTTACAGACGGGTGCCCAGGAGGCAGGTCTGTGCCTTCTGCAAAGATGATTATTTTGAGGGCTTCAATATTTAAAAGGCGGCTGTCCAGGAAAGAGGAAGAAAGTTTTTTTTTAAGGTGTGGGTAAGTAAGAGACAAACGGGTGCATTCTTTTGAGTCTTTGAACATCCTCTCATTGAATGCACTATTTCCATGGCGGAGGAGGGTAGAGAAATCGTCACTTATGTTTGTCTAGCACAGTGAATCTGCATTTTTACATTGGAGGAAGCAATCAGATACGCATTTGTCTCAGGTGAGCAGAGGGATGACTTTGAGTTCTGTCCTTTGTTCTGTACCTGTAACGATAAGCTATCAATTTACATTGTCACGGTGAAATTCAACAGAACTGTTTTAGGGCAAATATCATAGGGTCCACAGGAAATTTCCTCGTGGGCAAATTGTGAGAGAAGTGCATAGCTTTTTTTTTTTTTTTTTTTTGAGACAGAGTCTGGCTCTGTCGCCGAGGCTGGAGTGCAGTGGAGTGATCTCGGCTCACTACAAGCTCCGCCCCCCGGATTCATGCCATTCTGTCTCAGCCTCGGTTGAGTAGCTGGGACTACAGGCGCCCACCACCACACCTGGCTAATTTTTTTTGTATTTTTAGTACAGATGGGGTTTCTCCGTGTTAGCAAGGATGGTCTCGATCTCCTGACCTCATGATCCACCCGCCTCAGCCTCCCAAAGTGCTGGGATTACAGGCCTGAGCCACAGCGCCCAGCGAGAAGTGCATAGCTTTTTAAAAAATATTTGTAGCTATCTTATTTAGGAATGGGAGGCAGGTTTGCCTGTGGCAGTTCTGAGCTTGATTTTTCCCTTTGGCTTATTAATTTTGGGGTCCCCATATTTATTTTCCTTTCACAATACTCTTATACAGGCGACGAGACTGAGGCCCAGAGAGGAGGCTGCCTGCCTAACAGAGACAAAAGAGCCAGAACCAAGAGTAGAACTCAGACCCCCTCACTTCAAGTCCAATGCTCTTATCACATAAAAAGGATGCCTTAATTATATGAATGTGGCACTGAACTATATAGGCTGACACCAATTCTTTCTTCAGTGTAAACAATAATAGCAATGGGAGCAACAGGCAGCATTTCTGTGGCAGGTAGGTTCTAAGGCCTCCCTGTGGATTTCCTCTGCCAACACTCATGTTTACCCTAATAAGTTGTTTCTATTATAAACTTAAATATTTACTGAACTCTTCCCACCAGTACTTGTTAACTTGAAAGAAGGGGGAGATGAGATAAAACCTTTCTTTTCCTAAGACCTGTCTGCCAAGATAGATGGACGCAGGCCCAAAAGGGCAGAATGGAACACTGTCTGTTTTTCGGCCTCCTTCCCACCCTCCGGGGTGCTTCACACGCCTCCCCTGTGCTGGAATCGTCCTGGACACGGGTTAGGATGCGTCAAGTCAAGCATCACCAGAATTCCTCTGCTTGTCCTCTTGGCATTAGGCGCAGTTTAGGCCCTGCCTCTCCTTCCTTGTCCTCCTTCCTCCCCATCTACCACTATCGGTAGTGTCCCCAGTGCAGCCAGCTGCCTGCTTCTGTGTCTTTGCATATACAGTTCCCTCTGCTCGGAATTCCCTCCTCCACCTTGACTACTGACTCCACCTTCCCAAGTCATCAGCTGCTGCAATGTCGCCTGCTCTGGGAAGCCTCCCGGACTCAGATTGACTTGGGGATATGCCCTGTGCCCCTACTTGTTACTAGCTTCTGCTGCTCTGCCTCTGATCTCTCCCTCCCCTTCCCGCCCTGACACCTCATGGGGTTTTGCCCTGCCCTCTCCAGCCTTCATCCCATTGCCCCGCCTTCATTCACTTCTCTCACCTGAACTACTCCACAGCCTCCTAGCAGATTTGCACCTGGTCCTCAGCTCAACTTTCATCTCCCACTGCTCCCCTCATATTACCTACCTAATTGCATCTCCCAAAATACAACATCCCCATTTTCTGTTTTTTGTTTTTTTGGGTTTTTTTTTGAGGCGGAGTGATGGAGTCTTGCTCTGTAGCCCAGGCTGGAGTGCAATGGTGCAGTCTCGGCTCACTGCAAGCTCTACCTCCCGGGTTCACTCCATTTTCCTGCCTCAGCCTCCTGAGTAGCTGGGACTACAGGCACCCGCCACCGCGCCTGGCTAATTTTTTGTATTTTTAGTAGAGAGGGGGTTTCACCGTGTTAGCCAGGATGGTCTCAATCTCCTGATCTTGTGATCCACCTGTCTTGGCCTCCCAAAGTGCTGGGATTACAGGCGTGAGCCACCGTGCCCAGCCAACATCTCCATTTTCCATGCCATCCCCTAAAGCACTGAGCCAAGGACTGGAGATGCCAACAATGGTCCTGGTCCTCAAGGGGCTTCCTACCTGCCCCTCCAGCCTTCCCCCACCCAACTACCTAAAACACAAGCAGAGAACCTCTGAAAACACAACAGATCCAACCATTCCCCTGCTTGAACCCTTCGGTGGCCCCTAATGCTCCGAGTGCAAAGTCCAGGAGCACAAGGCTCTTTCTCACCTCCCCACAAACCTCCCGTGACAGCCCCTGCGCCAGGCTTTGCCCAGGATTCTCCCTTGGCGGCAACTTTCCCTGTGGTTCTGCAGCATCACTTCTCAGTCTGGGTCAGAGGCCTCTCCTTAGCCTCTCAGCCCCCAAGCCTCTCTCTGTAACTGCACCTGTCACCCTCAAACCATTGTCTGGCTGCCTGTCTCCTCCCACACTGGACCCTGAAGCAGAAACAAGGGCTAATCCATTTTTTTCAGCTCCTACCCCTAATGAAATACCCTAAGAGATACTGAAAAATGTTTTTGAATCAATGAGACAAGTCTAATGATAATAAACAGGAAAATAACAGCAATGTGCTAACAGTGGCTGTTTCTGATGAGCAGAATTTTGAGTTCTGTTCCTTTTACTTCTTGGTATTTCGGTTGTTTCTGTAGTGACTATATCTTGCTTTTGCAATAATAAAGGACGCTAAAGGAAACTTCATTTTGAAAATAATACAAAGGGATTCTGGGACTTCAAAGTACGGGGACTCTCCTCGTCCTCCGGAAAGGAGTGTTTAAAGACCCGCAGAATTCCTATAAGTGAGTGGGGAGGGCCAGCCGGCCAGCGCGCATGCCGGCCAGAGAGCGAGGTGGGCTCTGGGTCCGGGAGAAGTCAGATCAGTGCTCTGCACAGGGCCTGGAAGGCAGGACGAGGAATTTCGACTTAGGTCCTTGAATCTGGAGTGCTACAGAAAGTTTGTGAGCTGAAGAGAAGCGCTCCGAGCTTGGCATCTGGAGCAGTCCAAGGCAGCAGCGAACACGTCCAAAGACGCAGGAGGGAGGGTGGGGGAGTAGAGAGAAAACAGAAGCCGTTTACAAACCCTTTTCCCCTCCGGGGCAACTAAACCTCAAATGCAGGAAGCGCTTGGGGACTGCCCAGCCCTCAGCTATGTTATCATTCGGTGATAGGTACTTGCTAATGACTTCCAAAAGCCTCCCATCTGTCATCCCACCCAGACTGCGCGCTTCTAATTCCTCCTACCCCACATGCTGTGCCCAATGAAAAGTATGGCCAGCGAGCGAAGGCTTGCAAGGAGGCAGCCGAGGGCGAAATTAAGCCAGGCGGCTTCCCTTTAAATCCTCGCAAAGCAGAAGGGCCCCTCATTCCGGGAGCAGGCCTTGGACAAGGGGCCTTTAGCCCGGACGACCCGGGTAGAGTCTCCCAAAGTAAAAGAGCCAGGTCGGGCGCCCAGACCAAACCGGGGGAACCGGAAGGGCGAGGCCTCCACAGAAGTCCGCGGTAAAAGTGGCAGGGAGTGGCTGCCTGGAAAGACCCCAAGACGGCTGGAAGGAGGAGGGGGTGGTGGGTGGGGGTTAGGGCGACTAGGCGGGGAAACAGGGAGAGGGTCGGGCTCCGAGGTGCAGCTGGGGCCGAGACACGCCGGACCTGGGCGGGGGCAAGGGGCGGGGTGCGGCCCGGGCGGGGCAGACGGGGCGGGGCCGACGGGGCGGGAGGCGTGGCCGGCGGGGGGAGTGGGGGCGGCTTTTCCCGGCACATGCGCACCGCCGCGGGTCGCGCGCCCTAAGGAGTGGCACTTTTTAAAAGTGCAGCCGGAGACCAGCCCACAGCCGCCTGTATCTGTGTCCAGCCCGGGTCCCGCCTGTCCCAGCTGCGCGCGCCCCTCAGTCCCGCACCCGTTCGACCCAGGCTAGGTTAGCCCTCACCATGCCGGTCAAAGGAGGCACCAAATGCATCAAATACCTGCTGTTCGGATTTAACTTCATCTTCTGGGTGAGTGAGCGCGACTGCCGCACGCTCCACTCAGGGGCCACCTGTTCGCGGACCCCGGACACTGGCCGCGGGTGCTGGCAGCTGGCACTGCCCGCACCGGGCAGGCACCGGGCGGGAAGAGAGAGGGCCCTGCGGCTGCCAGCTGGCTCCAAGGCTGGGTCCAGAGCCGGGCGGGACGGCCGCGACGGGCGCATTCGGGTGGGGCTCATCACCGCCCAGCCGGCGTGGGGAGCCGGGCCCTCCTGGGATGGGGCGTGCGGGCGGGTCCTGAGCCCTTTCCCTCGCCTAGGATTTGAGCTGGGCTGTGTGTCTGCTCCCAGCCCAAGCCCCTCCAAGTGCCAGAGGGGAAGGCAGGGAGAAGCGGAGCACCCCTCTTTGGGCCAAGGCCAAGGAGGACTGTGGTGAGCAGTGCGGCTCGTGACCGGGTGGGGTCTCCCAGGTAGTAGGGGGCGCGAGGAAGGGAGGGTGCGGGCACGGCGAGAGCTCAGCCAAGAGCTGCTCTCACTTTTACACAGGAGCGGAAGGGGTGCCTTGGCCGCGGGTCCGGCCCGGGGACCCAGTCCCTGAGAGTCGGGGACCCCTCCACCCTTGAGGAGGAACCTCGCAGGTCCCGGTTCCCTCAGACTTTGATTCTGAACCACCGTGAGAGCGCCAAACTCCCCGGCAGCTACTGAAAGACTAGCTTGTCTTGATTTCTTTCAAGGCTGATAAGTATCTTCACTGGAGAGAACTCTGGGAGTTGGGGAGAGGAGAGGAGAGGGCAGATACCTATCTGCGCCTCTAGTGGGATGAGTCCTGTGTGTGCATTTCCGGGAGAGATCAGGTGCCAGCCAGCTGCCTGCCCAGGACAGCCTTGGCCTTGCCCCCTCCCCTCCCCGCCAGCCCAGGCGGCCCACCCAAGGCCAGGCAGGGCGCAGAGCGGACGTTCATCCGGAGAGGCCAACGGGGCCAGGAGCTCCAGGGACACCCACTGCAGGCCACTCAGCCTCTACAAATGGGAAGGCTGAGAGGTGACAGAAGCAAGGAATAGGAAACCTTTGTGTCCTTGTTTCTGTAGCCACATTCCCTACACACGCATGACAATACTTGCCCCTCTGCAGGCAGGAAGACAGTGTCTGTGCCACTCTCAAGATGGATGTAGAAACAGGTGCATGCCACCAGAGTCTTGTAACCAAAAAAGTGCACTTGGCCAGGCACAGTGGCTCATGCCTGTAATCCCAGCACTTTGGGAGGCTGAGGCAGGAGGATCGCTTTCATACAGGTTGAAGACTAGCCTGAGTAACATAGTGCATTAGACCCCATCTCTATAAAAAATAAACAATTAGCTGGGCGTGTTGGCATGCACCTGTGGTCCCAGCTACTCAGGAGGCTGAGATGAGAGGATCACTTGAATCTGGGAAGTCAAGGCTACAGTGAGTCATGATTGCACCACTGCACTTAGCCTGGGTGACAGAGTGAGCCCGGTCTCAAAAAAAAAAAAAAAGCAACAAAGTGTACTTATTCCCCTGGAGCTGGTCACTGAGGTCCCCACAAGCCTCCTTAGGGAAATCTCCTAAGATTTACTCCTCCCCAGAGCTGAAGGGGTGGTCGAACAGGTTTTCCAGTTTGCAGAGATTGACCTCCCCTAGTGCATCAGTCACCATAACACACGATATCACCACCATAACACACCATAACACCAAACCTCACCATAACTACATACATGAGGACAGCATGTAGGTGTGCTCCTGCCCAACCCTTGACTTGCTTTAAGAAGACCCTGCCGGCCATGGGCACCCCTCTCCTCCTGTGTTGCCCCCCCCCCCCCCCCCAGCAACCAGCCAGCTGCCACGCTTAGCTTCTTCCTTTCACCAATCCCTGGCAGCAGAAAAGTATGTGGGAAGGCAGCTGGCCTCACCCACCCTTGACCTTTGGGAGTTTTCCTCTCCCCTCACAGGTACAATCTCTCCCTGCCTGTGCTGGTTAGTCCTCAGCTGTCTGCCTAGACTGCATCCAGGTTTGGGACTGCAGGGAAACACAGACGGCCACCGTGTGCCTCCCTATCCCCATCTGCCCCATGGCATACGCAGGAAGCTGATGTGAGGCTCCCACGGCCAGTGGTATCTACTCTGTCTGTGGCCTGCTGGCCTGCAATCTGTCCATACTGTCCTCAGCCTGCCACCCTACTCGTATTCAAAGCCCTCTACCCCTGGCCCCGGCCTAGGTGCAGCTGATGAGCTATGTAGTCTGAAACAGAAATCACTCACACTGGAAATGTTTGGAATGACTTGAAGATCGTGCAGTCCAGCCCTCTTATCCATAGTGAGGCAGCAGAGATGGGGTGATTTACCCAGGATCACAGAGACAGAGCCAGTATTACAACTCCTGGGACCCTTACTTCTGTCCTCTTCCATCTTCATCAGAAGCAGGAAGGTGGGCAGTAGCCATACTTTCCTGAATTAGTGTTCATTTATCCGGTATCTGGGTCCCTATGGAGATGAAGCCCTCATCCCTAGGAGATGATGTAATGAAAAGGAAGACTGTGGTTGGTCCACTTGTGCAGAGTCTTAGTCTTTAGAGCCTTTCTTGTTCTAGCCCCATGATGTAGCCAAGAGCAGGACGCATTGTCCCCACTGTACTGACGATCAGGAAACTATTTCCCAGGGAGGTTAGGTGACTTATCCGAGATGACGGGGCAGGGTGGTCTCAGAACCAGGTTACTTCACCCAACTGGGTTTGGCTGCTGAGTGGGAATGGGAGAAGGGTAGAATGAAGCTCCCAAAACTCTCTTAAGGAAAACTGTAACCCAAGGGAACTGCTTGGGTGATTATGTTGTCACCACATCCGTTTCTCTCTTGAGACCAGACATTTATAAACTTGGCATTTGGAACCTGATGTGGGCCTTGAAAAGCAGGAATTGTGAGGCCAGTGCCCAGCAGTGCTTCACACAGAGGATGCGGAGAGGGGGTGTCCAGCAGGCATCCAGAGAGAGGCCAGCCTCCGTGGAGTAGGATGGTTCTTGGGGGGCTGTGCCTCTTCCCTGGCCTGATCTCATCCCTGTGGATCACTCCCTGATGACCAGTTCTGCACAGCCTGGCCTCCCCAGGTCTGATGGCCACAGCCAACCAGCAAATCAGTTTGTTCTTCCACCGCCTCCAGAACCAGCCCTCCTGGCTCTATTTTGGTGGTTTCTACGTTTCCTTCAGACCTCCCTGCCCGCCCGCCCACCCCCCAAAAACCAGTTGAGAGGGAAAACATCTTGCTGATGTCCATGTGGTAGACAATACAAGTATTTATCTCCAGCTGAAATGGAGAGCCAGGGTTAGGGCCAGTCCAGTCTAACACTTGCATGTCTGCCATCTTTCTGGTCAGGCAAGGGGAGGAACTCCTTAGGGCAGAAGAGGGAAAGGTTTGGCTGTACTGAGAGAGCCCAGTCCCCTCCCCACCTCCCTCAGCCCCTTCGCTTACTGTCTCTCACCCCTCACTCCCTAATGGAAATAGCAGTGCGGGGCTGGGGGGTCTCTTTCCAACAAACCGCATCCCCTGGACCTAGGGGAGGCTAGTGCGAAACACAGAGACCTAAACTGGGAATTCAAAGACCTGGATGTGAGTCCAGCTCTGTCCTCAACTCACTTTGAAACCTTAGGCTGGTCACTTCTGTGCCCTCAGCCTCAGTTTCCTCATCTGTAAAACAATGGCTTGGAACAGATGGTCTCAAAAGGTCCTTTCAGGCTCAGTCTCTGAACCCAGCGCCCCTCCCCACACCACATGCAGCAACAGGACTTTCCCACACACCCAAAATAGGAACCAATGTCGGGTACAATGCATGCTATGTTGGTGATGGTCACACTAAAAGCCCAGACTTCACCACTATGTAACAATACTACATTCGTGTCCCCTAAATCTATAAATAATAACATAATAAACAAAATACAAGTCATGAATTGGAAATGGGAGATGGATACCAAGGCTTGTCCTCAGAATTCAGCTTTTCTTGGCCTTTACCTCTGGAGCAAGAGCCCAGCTGTTGCTTCTCTTTCCTGTTACCGCTCAGTTCCCTCTCCTCACCCTGGCTGGGGTCTCTCTCTCAGGGAGTTCTGTGTTCATTGCCCATATACGTTAGTACTTAGCCTAGTGGTCAAAGCACCAATCCTGGCTTACGTATATCATCACCAGATAGGATGGGTGACCACCCCACAGGGTTGCTGTGAGAGCTAAATGGGGAACGTGTGTAACGCACTTAGCGTAGTAGATTGCACTAGACGCGTCTTCCAACGGTAGCTCTTGTTACTCAGTAGTGGAGAGTGGATTGGGGCCCTGGGGAGGGTGGGAGCCGTTCTCTAGTGTGGAAGTCTAAACCGCAAGTGTGGCCAGGAGGACCCTCGCCATCCACACACACCGGCCTCCCCGCCTCTTCCTGTATCAGCGCCAGCTTTTGTCCTGTACATCAAAACCCCGACTCCATTTCATGGGTTGCTACTGCTCATTTGGCTACGGGGGGAGCCCCGCTTCTGAAAATAAAATCGCATGTCAGAGAAACCCTCGGGATCAGGATTCTGGATCTGGGCAGGGCTTGGACAAGTTGGGTGGCAGCGGCAAAAGCCCCTCCCTACGGTCTGCCTTTCCCCCAGAAGCAAGTTGCTGGGACTGTTGCATAAAATGGCTCCCACCTCCAGTGCCCAGACAGCCTGCGCAGGGGCGAAGCTGGCAGGCTTGGGGAGAGGTGAGCTGAGGCCAGGTATCTGCATCCTTTGCCCAGAATTTTGATGGTCTCTCCCCTGCACCCACAATGGGTGTGAACAACAAAGACCCGATCTTTTGATGGTGGTAAGAATTCCTCTGCACATGCTCACACTCACGGTTTCTACCCCTTTCTTTTCGTCGTGGCCCACAGCACCATTCCAGACCCTGCTCTATTGTGTTCGGAGGAAGCAGCTGCTGGCTCCGGCCCGAATTTGGGAGTGCTTTGATAAGCGGCGCTCCCCAGGGCCCTGCCAGTACTGACTCTAGATGAGCTCTCT